TTTTTGGCCCCCCCCCCCCCCTCCTATCAATCTTGTACATTTTAAAGCTCTTTAAAAAGCCTTAAACAAAAGAAAGCAGATATGGCCTATAAAAGGAATTTGCTCATTTTCAGTTTTTCTTGACAAATAAAGGTTTTATAATTATCCAAATAATTTTGCACATTAAAAATCGCTGGGTCCAGAGCTTTTCAAAAAAGGATAATTTATCGCTTTTCGCTTAGTTTTGGCTTTCGCACATTATTTGCCAAATAAATAGATTTCGCAATCTGTATTTGGATTTTTGAAATTTTGCAGATTATTACAGCAGTGCCCTAAGGGCTTGCCAAAAACATATCAAAAGTTGCAGATTTGTAATAAAGAGGTCCCCATTTACTTTGGGTAAACCAGACGTCAGTCGGAACAGGGTTAAGGCGAAGAACGTATATGTTCTTTGTTTTGACAGTTTAGTTCATGTTCATATACGTTTATGAAAAAGTTTTTTATTGCAATGTTTATGAAATGTTCGCCTCAAATTTATTTAATGGAATAATTTCTTTTGTGACTCAGTTTATGGTCTCTCTTGTGACTTGTTTAATTACTAGAATTAAATCATGGGTGTTATCAAATCAGTGTATGGGCCTTACGAAACTTACATTGAGCTGGGATAGTCAAAAACCCTTATGGCAAAAAATGTAGTGCATTCCTTTTCATAATTATCATTGATCGTAACTGAACCACTTTTATATCTCATCAATCTTTTATCCAGTCAAAAACCTTTTAGAATCTATTCTTAAAAATTGAATGAAATGGGCTTTTATATCCGTTTCATGTCAGAACATCTAAGTTATTATAACATATAAAGCCCTTTCCCCCTGGAGAAATTCCTGTGTAATCCCCTATTATGAAGTCTACATTCAATTCAAAATATATTTGTTCTAAAATCCCTTGTTATTTTATTCTCTAGTCCCTTGTATGTCTGTATTATTAAATCCCTTGTTATTTTATTTTCTAGTCCTTTGTATGTCTGTATTATTAAATCCCTTGTTATTTTATTCTCTAGTCC